GTGCTCCTGGGTGCCCAAATCACCTGGTCACCACGCCAGCAGGTGACAACTTTCACACCAAGGGTCAACTCGAGTTCAACTCGAGTGACAGGACTGCACCCAAAAAAGGTCAAACAGGCTAGTAAGTTGTACCCTGCAGGCACGGTGACCAGGTGACTGGTGTACGCAGGAGCACGTGACCACTTCTTCAACCATGTTCGATTGGGAATAAAGGAGGAACGCTGCATCGCAGCCTTTTCGGACCAAAACCAGTCGACTCAGCGTCCAAAAGACTACAACATATGGGCCAATCGCGGTCATCCGTGCTTTTATAAGAACGAAATGGCGCTTTTAGTGACATTTTGCATACAAATCCCCATCTAGTAGGGCGCAGTCACCCAGTTTCGGTGGAAGTGCGCGAGTTCGATTGGGATTCAAGTAGGAAGGGAGCGTCTCAGCTTCCTCGGACCAAGACCATTCGACTTAGCACCCCGAAGACTACAACTGGTGAAATTTTAATTTTTGCCTTCCCCTTTAAGGTGGCTCACACCCTCTGCGCGCGCATCGTTTGAAAAGTGTAGATTTTCAGTAAATTTTTCGGTAGCGATGATTTTTGTGCGATCAATCGTTGTAGGAAACGTCTTCTCGCTTTTCTGCAATTCTGGCGACCTAGCTAGAACCTGCTGCTAGTGTCCCTCTTCACTCGTTCTTTCTATGAAAGGGGAAGGCAGCACTCGCAGAAGATTTTCCAAGAATGCAATGTCGACTGGTGCTCGTACTATAAGAAGGGAGAAATCAAAGTCCGCTCTTGAATCACGCCTGAGTCTTAGAAAATTATTTCAGAATACGCTTGTGTAGATTTCCTGCCAGTGCCACTGACATCTCGCGACCTTCAAATATAACTTGCTCGATCATCTCCCGCACTGACTGGTAAATTCGTCGGGTAGCTGTGGATGGATCGATTCAGGGAGATCGAAGGTAAATACATCGAAGCACTTCAAACACGTTTCAAGACGCACTTCAAATTTTGTAATTGTGTCTTGAAAATTGTTTACAACAATTCGTACTTCAATACGTTGAATTGTATCCTCTGCTTGGGAGTCTCGACTGTTTTATTGCTGCATGGCTTTCCTCAACACCGTTCACTGTACATGTATCGCGGAACGCAGATTGGATGGCATTGGAGGTGAATTTGATAATTTGTGACTGTGTCATCAACCAAGTGAGGACATCAAATATCAACAGGGACGCCCCGAAAATCACAAACGCTGCGAAATAGGTATGAAATGGTCTTACACACTGGTGGGTATTCCACATTCATTGTGTCATATCTTTAGACTGTCCGAAAGTTTGTCGTGCCGTGCAACTTTCACAGACTAATCCGATAATTGGCATGTGGCCCTATCGGCACACACTCATGCGTATGCCGCTGAGTCTATCTATATGTGCACGCACATGTGTGTATACTTACACAATTTTATTACGTATGGAAAACTAGGCAATCTACATGTACATATATATATGTGTGTGCACTCACTCCTATGACATAGAACGACAGTGCAGGCTATGTAAAGTCGCACGAGTGTGTGTTACCCGGGTGTGTACATGCATGCGCACTCGCGCGGTTGTTTTGTGTGCGTGCCTGGCATGGCATAATGCCGTTCAATATGACTAGTGTTGAACCGTGGTAATTTGCCCCACCCCTTCTTTTTCCTATTGGCGTTGGATATGCAACTAATGACATGAACTCGGTTGTTGAAAACGAGTGCCATGCACCACAATGGATTGACAATAATAATATTATTATTATTATACAAGTAGCGCTGTAAAAGCGCTGGTAATACTCATGTTGCAGCCATGGCAGTTGTGATTAGCTTTCCAAGTCAAGCCTGCTGCAGAAATTATTGCAGTCTGACCAGCTGGAGTGGCCCAGGACTGCAGGTTGTGGAGAACAGGAGTGATGCTTGTCACATATACGCTTGTATTTACATGATGGACTTCGAAGTAACGTTAGGTGTATTACTTGTATGTTCTTCTGCCTGTGCACGTGTACATGTGCTGGTCAGTGTGGAACCGCCATCCATATCAGATCATACAGCTCAGCTGCTATCAGTCTCAACAGCTTATATCTGGAAAATAGGGTTTTAGTGACTCAATTTTGCTTACTGTGTTCAACAGAGTGGCATTGCACCCAGCTACTTTATGTAATAGTAGCATCTTGGAAATTTTATATTTTTGATAGTTAGCTTCAGTAGAAACTTCTCCAGTGTGGCTCTTAGCTTCATTACCACGGAGACTAAGCATTCAAGAAATGCACGAAGAACAATGGCTAGATGCGAAGTGAAAAGCCATTGGACCGTACCCAATGGAATACGCATTTAGTATAGCAGTATTGCTTGCTATGTTGGCAGCAAACACTGTATAATAATAATTGCATTACCAGTAGAAAGTGCCCAATGTGCATTGCTTTAGCACTGTGTTTTGGACAAAGCAGTCAAAAAATTCCACATCAGTATTGGCTTCATGTTGGAGAAAGTTGTGAAAAACACTAGAGCATACATGTACACTCAATACACATGCTCAGCTACATGTATGGCATTTAGTATGTGGGCGACTTCAAAGTTCTATTTTGGTAGTTAGCTTCGGTAGAAACTGTCTAAACTTGATCCAAAGCTCTACTACTATGTTCTGAAGATGTTGCAATCAAGTAATGTAAGACACGTATCTGCCGCATTGGAGCTAGTTGTGAAAACCTCGAGACCATACACTCAATGCACATGCTCAGCTATTGCATTTAGTATGTGGGCGACTTCAAAGTTTTATTTTGGTAGTTAGCTTCGGTGGAAACTGCTAAAACTTGATCCAAAGCTCTACTACTATGTTTGGAAGATGTTGCAATCAATTATTGCAAGATACGTATCTGTCATATGGTAGAGTCAGGGGTTCTAAGGCGTTGGACAATGTCCCAGTGCAATGTGCTGATTCTTGAAAAATATGGCATCACTTGACACTTCAAAGTTTTATTTCAAGAGTTACCTTCGGTAGAACCTGCTCAAACTTGCTACACAGTACCATTATTAGGTTATGATAGCATAACCATTAAATACAGGGCAAGTCCAGTGTCAAATACTTGTGGGCGGGGCTAATATGTGGGACGTGTGCGCTGAAATGGGATGATTCCGAAAAGAGAAAAAGGTCACCTTCTAGCAGAATTCTACCCACTTCTAAAGCTTATGCTGGTATTTAGCAAGTATACTACTGTCCTGATGTTGGACATCAAGAAAAATGGGGTAACTACGAGTGCTACGGCCAAAAAAGTGGTTTTCCGGCGTTTTTTGGCCTAAACTGGCAATTGTGACTGAGTATGCTATGTTTGGCCCCTCCCCCGAGTGAAACCGGCCGGTAGAACTTGATAAAATTTTGTCTCCGTACACTAGATATCCTACGGAACAAAGTACAATCGTTTGTAGCCACGTTTCAAACAAAAAAAATTTGGACCCGAGGGGTAGGAGCCACCTTAATACAATCATGTACATGTACAAGCAAGAGTACATAACCCCCATGGGGTTTTAAGTGACGGTTTATGTACTCTTGATACAACTTACAAGTACTGTAATAGTCATAGGCTTAGCAGGTTCGATTGTGTGTACGAACTCGTAGTCGTCCCTGGTCGATAGGTACAGCCTCGATCCTGCCTTCTGTACGAGAGGTTGCGGGTAGGAACCCCGCCTGGTTACATGATGCGTCTCTTCGCTCCTCGTTTTCACTATTTGGCAAATCTGTACGTGATCACATAGGGTACCCTGTAAAAAGGCCTTAGGCCTGTGGGGATTACCCTTTTCGAAATATTAAATACATGATTGTAATAGTAATAATCTTCACTAGATGGCAATAAACAGAATCAGCTGAAGCGACATGTTGCGAAGGTTTTATTGAGATGTAAAGTGGTGATGGACAAGGAAATATCAGTAACTGCGATGGAAATGTAATGTGAAAAACAATAATAGGAACGATGAAAAATATAAACATGCACCGAACTCGCTTTTCGCCCACCAGGAAGCATCGTTGTACTAATTAACAAAATTAATTGCAACAGTACAGATAACTATAAAGGATCAATAGTGATATTAATTATAACACGTAAACATGCACCAAAAAGTACGTATCACAAGCTGAAGGTATTCTTGAACGATACCATGTGCGTGAAAGATAACAATCGAACACTCCAAGGGGACACCATTTAAGTACATGTATGAAACAACATTAGTGACAAAATTCTGGCCCAACACTTTTTTTGGCATTGTTTAGGTGTCATTGGAGATTGACGAACGAAATAATGTCGTACCTTTTGATTCGGTTTTGACCCCCCCCCCCCTGGTTTGCGTCTGCGTGCGCGAGTGTGCGTCTGGAAACCAACGCACTCGCGATAACGTCACGTGATGACATTTCCTAGGCGACCGTCAAAAACGAAGAAAACACAGACGCAAACCTGAGCTTTCAACGCAAAGGCGTAAGTGAATGCATGTATTTACGGACGGCCCCTAATAATGGCCAGGCCCTATTAGAGAGGGTTGAAAGTTTGTGTGATCATATACCTATTGACTGACGACTTTAATATACCGGTATGAATGATGGGTTTGAGTTTGCAAGGCAACATGTCACCTGCGGTGGGGCCGGGGTTGAAAGAGTATGACTGGCGCAGGGCTTTGGAAGTATTAGTTCACTCGCCGCACGGTTGCATCATCGGCGTGCCGCGTGGTGGTGTGCATGCAAGCGCCATGCGTGAGCGCGTGCGTGTGCACACACACACATGAATACACACACATGGATACGCGCACACACACACACACACACACACACACACACACACACACACACGCACGCATGCCACACACACACACACACACACACACACACACACACGTTGTCACGAGCATGCACACACACACGCACACACACGCGCGCACACACACACACACACACACACACACACACACACACACTGATGTACATCATTCATGCTAGTGTGCGACTGAAAGCATACGAAGCAACGACCGGAATTATATCACCAGCTGGAATAATGTTTGACTTTCAAGCGCGAAAGAGCGGATGGCAACGAAATAATTGACATGGAAACAATGGCATCGCATGCTAGCATTCCTGAAAACACATGTAGAGAACTGCCATAAAATAGTGGGGGAAATGCAAAAATCACGCACACACACACACACACACACGTACACACACACTCAGACCTCAGACATGCCCAACGCAGAAGCGATGATAGCGAACAGCTATGTTAGACATTGCAACTTGTGCACACACATGCATCAGGTTTTTAAAAATTAAAAAAAAAAGAAGAAGCTTGCAACGTCGATTTGACAAGAAAGACAATAGGTTAGTGAAATGAGTACAGTTTAGATGAGCACGGTGGCATAGTGCAAATCAATACGCGCAGACAAGAGTGCATGCACAGAGAGAAATAATTATTTCTACGAGCATATATGCGCTCGCACGCGCGCGGGTGATCATCAAGACAGTGCTGTGTTTCATGGTGCCAATGTCAGCCCTGGGGAAGACCAGGCCAGGCAGGCAGGCGGCATCAGTTACATTATGATAATTTGTGTTTTTCACACATCACTCCGCACACCATGCACCCTCATCACTCCGCACACAGACACACTCATCACTCCGCACACAGACTCACTTTACACAGGAAAGCATAGTGCAATGGTGAATCAAACGTTGAATAAAGAAAGAAAGCGGACATACCCTTTTTGTGAATAGCACACTTTGAAGAAGACAGCTGCGAGCTAGCACATACGGTGAACACACTAGTTATGGCTGCTTTGAATTCCAAATGCACGTGGTGACACACACACACACACACACACACACACACACATACACACACACACACACACACACACACACACACCACACCAATGCCCTCTGGTACGCCACCATCAAATAATCCCGCTGCCAAGTTTTGCGCACACAGCCAAACGCGGCCAGCCACACAGATGAGATCGTACTCGTAATATGCAGAGTGACGGTTTATGAGCCGAATTGCTGCTCATCTGCCATGGTTTCGCCAGCCGGGGAGGCATCATCGGCATCACCACCCGCGTCGTCGTTGGCAGCAGCGGTGGCTGTGGTGTGAGAGCTAACGCTGGAATGGCCCGGACTGGAGCATTGGTCGCCGCTGGCGATGGCAGTGGCTGCCATGGCAATGTCGTCGTCGTCTTCCTGCTCCAGCAGGTCGATGAAGTTGTTGACGAGGCGGAACATGCGGGCACTCCGCACCTGTGCATAGGTACCAGTAAAAATTGCAAGTAAATACAGGTCAAATATTTTGCTGACAAGATGGAATTAACATGCGGGCACCCCACACCCGTCTACAGACACCAGTCAAAACAAATATTTACTAGTAAACTCAAGTCAATGAAGTTGTTGAACATGGTTGACGAGACGGAACATGCAGGCACTCCTCACCTGGGCACAGGTGTGTGTGTGTGTGTGTGCAGGCGCGTGCCCCGTATGGGGTCCTGGGTGCCCGGAGCCCCCCTTTTTTCGCTCAAAATGCAGGATTTTGCTTCATTTTTTGAAATTTTTCCCGGGGGTGGTCCCCCGGAAACCCCCCTTGAAGGGCACCGGCGCACGCGCCTGGTGTGTGTATGTGTGCGTGCGTGTGTGTGCGCATGCATTAGTGTGTGCGCGCGCGTGTGCATGCGTGCGTGCGTGTGCATGCGTGCGTACGTGTGTGTGTGTGCGTGTATGTGTGTGAATATACACACTTCACAGACACACCACCTCTCCACGCTTACCGATCTGTGTATAGTGTAGTGGTTGCCTTCGTCTACAGAGCCTTCTGCTGATCGGCGAGCACGCTTGCCACTGCCTGGCTTTGCATCGGCCTCTTTCTCGTCAGCTATTGCAGAACATGCAACCACACGCACAATTGAGCAGGAAAAATGACAGATACACACACACACACGCACACACGCGCATACACCACTGTTAGTACACAGCCTTCCCTGCGGCAAATCTTGACTATCAGGCGGGACCCAGAGGTGCAAAACTTCAACAATATATGCCAAAAGCATTTTCAAAACATAATTTGAAGAAGCATTATAAAGCACATCGGCTGCAGCAAACGTTGCGCTACGGGTTGGCCAGGAGGCAGCCATTCAGCTTTCTGATGGTGTTTCACGGCATAATGAATATCGTACCTTTTGAAGTTGGCGTGCTGCTCTTTGTCTTCGGATCTTCGATGTGAGGGCGATCCCGGCCAGGGCATGCACACACCCGTACCTGCACCTCCACTCTGCCGAGAACCTGGGCAAACTGGCTGTCTCTGCAGTTACACACGGTAGGGAGACGAGCAGAGAGAGAGGGAGAGGGGGAGGGGAAGGAGAGAGAGAGAGAGAGAGAGAGAGAGAGAGAGAGAGAGAGAGAGAGAGAGAGAGAGGAGGGAGAGAGAAGGAGACAGAGAGTGAGTTAGTGAGTGTCTGTGAGAGACAGACAGACAGACAGACAGACAAACAGACAGAGGCAAACAGACAGATGCAGATAGATAGACAGACAGAGACATAGATCACTCATGAACCTTACGGGTCGCTGTTTGGTGCTTGCAGCAGGCTGCACGCCAGCTTGGTGGGGCGACGCTTGACGAAGTTACAACTGTTGTAGCAAGTGAACATGAGGTGTTCTGTCATAGTAATCACCATGCCGTCAGCTGGCTGAGGGACGTCTGAACAGGGAAACCACAAGCGAATACATGTACAAGCATGTGCAAACACACACACACACACACACACACACGCACACACACACGGCACATACACACACACACACACGGCACATACACACATACACACACACATACAAACACACACACACACAGTTTGGTATCGTCCATTACGGACTGAGCCTACGGACCTGGGGATTATGTACCTCACAACTAAAAAAACCGTCTGTATTCTTTGTACCCAATTGAACACACACACAGACACGCACATATGCACATACATACACACAATCCTTATCACCAGAAAAAAGGCGTGTGCAACCCGCATCTTACTCGACTCGAATGGGACACGCAGCTCAACATAATCCGGGCGCTCGATGAAGCGGCACGCCTCATTCCGCGACACCACCAGATGACGGGAACGAGAGCCTGTATGAGATGACCAATAACAGAGAGAGAGAGACACACACACATACATACATATACACGCACACATACACACATACACACACACATACACACATGCATACATGCACACACATATCAAAAGGGTGTTGTCATTGGTGGATTCGTACAATGACGTATTCGTGTTCCGTGTCTCCCTGGCAAAGTTCATGTGCTGGAGGGACCAGAAGACCAATTTCGACCCGAAGACCAAGAGTTGTCTTTCGGCACATGACAGGTCACTACCCACCTCAGACTCGGAGAGACATGAAGGACTTACTTAAATGAAAGTACAAAGATCGTGTCACCGGAAACCTGCTTGACTTGCGCCAGTTGCATCAACAACATGGTGTGATTCAGGAATTGGTTCGATGTGACAGCAACACATTTTGAGCTGCATGCTCTGGACTCCACGTAGCACTCGGGGCACATCCATGACCTGATGGCCCAATAGCCCAGTAACTATGGTAACCCAGTGAGCGGCAATGACCCACTGGCCCTATGACCCACTGATCTGGCGGTAGCTCTTGGCGGATAATGTTCGCAAAAAAATTGGCCGATCCTGCTCGAAAAGCAGTAAAACGGACAGAGCCACACAAAACCTCATGGCAAGCACTTCCTCGAATTCTGCTCCATTTCTTTATCCACATACCAAACATTTTATGGAGCACACCCGAAAAGCACCAAACTCTGCCAATGAATCTGCTGGCAGTATCCGGCAAGGGCTACCCGGTAGGTGATGACCCAATGACCTGATAGCGCAGTAACCCAATGGCCCGCTGGCCAAGTGACCCAATGACCCAGTAACCGAATGGCCCAGCAGCCCAATGACCCGTTGGCCCAGTAACTGAATGGCCCGTTGACCCAGTACCTGAATGGCCCGTTGGCCCAGCAACCGAATGACCCAGTAACCGAATGGCCCGTTGGCCCGGTAACCCAATGACCCGTTGGCCCAGTAACTGAATGGCCCGTTGACCCAGTACCTGAATGGCCCGTTGGCCCAGCAACCGAATGACCCAGTAACCGAATGGCCCGTTGGCCCAGTAACCCAATGACCCGTTGGCCCAGTAACCCAATGACCTGATAGCCCAGTAACCCAATGATCCGTTGGCCCAGTAACCCAATGACCCGTTGGCCCAGTAACCCAATAACCCGTTGGCCCAGTAGCCCAATGACCCGTTGGCCCAATGGCTTACCGGAGAACTTGCGGTCCTTCTTGAGCATATCCACGTGGAGAGGGCATCGTTCTGGATATGGTGCCATCGGTGTCATCTCCTCACGCCAATCGGTCTCGGAGAACTCCATGCGAATGCTCAGCCATAGTGACGAACCCTCAATGTGGGGACCTGCGCATAAATGTTACACGGGCGTGCATGCGTGCACAAATACACATACACACAAATACACAAATACACGTACACACACACACACGCACACACACACACACACACACACACACACACACACACACACACGCACACACACACATACACACACACACATACACATGTTACCTTCTAATAATTATACTGATCACCGTGACGATATAGCAATGGCTGGTCTAATGGTCAGTCTGTCCATGGCAATGCTGCTCTCTCCTTACATCCAGATAGAGTCACCCGTGGCCAAGTCAATGATTCCCTTTCTTTACCCATTGTGCAAGCTCAAGCTGGATACAAATCTATTCCAGGGATGAATTTATTGTCAGATGTTTGCGTAGCAGTTTCTGCTATACAAAATCACAATTGTGTAGCAGTCTTTGATTTTGATTAGCATTTTTCTTTGAAGGTTGGGTGTTTACCAGATTGTCCTTGTTGATAGTGATGCCTGAAAACCCATTTGCAAAAAAACGACTGAATCATACATGTACACGCGTGCCTGCACAACATAATACTGCACTGTATGCATGTAACTTATTGTTTCTTGACAGCACAGGCTAGGCATGGATAGTCTGTATGTATCACAGTGTTCTGCGAGTCACGGCGACAATTGAGTAGCAGTTGATCGATTTTGCATCGCAAACTGCGATGCGATACAGGATAAATTCATCCCTGTATTCCATTCCTTGGTGCTGACCGCTTTAATCCGCTTCCCGAATCCCTTCGCACA